TCTTGGGCACGGAATGCTGAAGGCCCTCGCACCAGGATGCGCGAACTCTAAAAATTGGCAGTAAGGTCAAACATTGACATAAACTTAGTTTCAGAAACTTTATTCGATCAGAGTGATAAACGTACGCTGCCAAACTATCCCTTGTATAATAAAGAGAGTCCCGCTTTTGGACATAAGGGTGAAACTTTATTAATAAAAATAATACATTATGTCCTTTCCCTTCGAGTACAAAACTCTACGGTCTGGAAGCCATAGGAACCGCTTACGATGACGACCTGGTGGCAAAAGCAATCGTTACTTTGCTTAACAATGGACTCGCTAAGAAGTAAGCACCGAGAATGGGTAACATACAAGTCTATCATTGATAGCGCAAGCTACTTCATTGACATGGATCTTTAAAGGGTTGCTGAAGCCTACCTAACGGTGATCAAAGTCAGAGCTAAAGTTGCTCAACCCAAAGGAAATGCCGGAGCAACAGAGGGGCGATTGTGCTGCTCTAATGTATGATTTATTTTCACCTTAAGACTTTAACGGGTAAAACTCTGGGGCTTTAAATAGATTTGTTTTTTTCTGCGAAATCACTTCCTATGTTGAAATTGACCTAGGCAAGAAAGGGTAAACATAGTAACCAATAACCTATAGGGGTTAATTAGAGTGTTACTATCCAGGTTTTTAAACCTATTTTGTAGTGAATTGCTAGGTGATTTTTTTAGGTCTACTAGTTAATAGCACTTAATAGCACTTAAATGAAGGTGTTCTTTCAAGTTTAGTAACTATCTAGCAGGAAGTTAGGTAAAGAAATATTCCATGTGTTCTATTTGCTGATTGCGAATGCTCTCTTTTGTCGTCATGTCTCTGCCAAAAAAAAAAGTTATGCTTTTTTCTAAACACTCGTTTCAACGAGTTTCACTTTTAATACACACAGGTGGAAGTAGTTACCACCAAATCTTTCTTTCTCTTTAGCCTAGCTTTGCAATTTCTGTTTTTGGGACTTTCTATTTAAAGGATTAATTAGAGCTGCAATGCTAATCTCTTATCAAGATTTTAAAGAATGACCAATAAACTAAAAAGTCTATAATTGCTACGTGTGTGACTTTTGCTTTTTAATCTAAACGTTTACTCTTTGCAAATTCTAGCTCGCTTTAATTTTCCTTTTACAGTTTAAAATTCTTTATCTAAATTTCTGTCTTCGTTACAGAGTGACTTGATTTATCTTGCTTCGCCTTTTATTGGTTTCCTACCACTTATTTTAACAACAGTTTCTTGTAACACTGTTTCTTACAAGTCACTCTCATCTTCTTTCACTTAAAATTTTTCAACCACTCTTATCTTTGCTTACTATTCTATTGTAATTTTTTATACTCTTTCCTTTTCCCTAATTCTTCATCCCTATAATCATACTCAGAAGATGACCTCTCTTCTTCCATATAATTTAGTTCTGCATCGTCATCAAGGTGGTTTTATAAGAAGAAGTTGTTTAAGTTGCCAATATCAGTACTTGAAATGCTTGAAACGAAAACTGAAAGTATTGTTGTCTATTTTTCGACTTGTTGACTGATGCCAACACTACTATGTTCATTACTTATTGCCTGGCTTGATTTTCGCAATAACTATAGACTACCAGTGCTGATAAAAGTATAATAATTATTTAACGCTAAAAAAGTATATATGTATTATTTATTAATCCATCCCGGTATACTACTACTCACGAGAAAAGCCCACCTTACTTACAAAGAGTAAAGACCAAGATAGAAAAGAAAGAGAAAGGGAAAACCTGCTTCCTCCCTGTGACATTTATATTCCTCGCTATCACTTTACCCACACTCGGTAATTACACATGAGTCAATGCCTCATTTGTTGTTACGAACATGGTTGATGATATATTAGGTTCAGATAAATCGAAATTATCCCAGAAATCATATGTTGTGTTGTAATAACCACTAAACTACTCGTCATTATTAAATCTTACCTGTACCCGAAAAGACTTGCGCTGGTTTACTAAAGGATTCTTTTAGTAATCTTAAAACTATTAAAGGCCTGGTCTACATAACCTCTCTATTTGTTTTTTAATTAACTGTCTTAGAATAGTTATAAACACAATGCAATAAGCAAAAATTATTTCAGTAAATTAAACACCCCACAACACCAATTTGATCACTTTAAACATTAAAAAAATAAGCAATTAAATGTGAAATCTTGGTAAGATCTTTTGCTCGCATTAGTGTAAACAGTTACAAGTAAAATATTACTAAAGGAAGGAATTTAAGAAAATATAATACAAGTAGATTATACCTTTCCACTCAATATTTAAGCAGTTGATCGGTGTGAAAAACGATATATCCAAAGTTATACTCAATTTCACTATAAAAAAATTTATTTGGTAAATAGTATAAAATGGCCCACTTAAATCTTAAAAATAATGCCTAACAAGGATATACTTATTTCGCTACTTCCAATAAATTGTAAAAATTTTATTTCTAGAAGAAATAATTGTTCTTCCATTCCTAAAACGTAGGATGAATTTTAATTATATCTGTTTCGCATTAATTTTATTGGTTTGATTGTTACGTGTTGAACTTATACTCTTGAACCTTAATAGCAAAGCAAAAATTTCAAATGCTATTTGTACTTACTAATTTTAGACAATGTTCGACTTGTAGCTTTTTTTCCCGCGAATACTTTAATTGTTGGTGGAGAGCTCAATTGCAACTGTCCACTCTGGTATCGTACAACCCAGTGGAGTGGTTATGGCAAAAATTGCGGAATAATGAAAAAGTCTTATAGTATGCTCCAGTACCTTTACTCATTGTGTCACCAATTACCCAACTGATGCGCTTGAGATTGTTTGCTTCAATTTTCTATAAATTTGGAACTATCTTTAGAACACAATACTTTTCTAATCGCACTTGAAGTTACCCTTACAATTTAACTAAAAAAGAGGAGAAAACAACGAATTGGTCTAGTTTTAAAGGATAGGTGGAGGACGGTAATTTTTTATTAACGACTTCCACCGCTACCTAGCCTTATCGGTGCAGTGTCTCATTTGGAGACCGTACTCCTTAAATCATACAACTGAGTGAAAGAGCCCAAAATCTTAGTTGTTTTACCTCTCATATTACCGAAAAAACTGAAAAGCACCATTATTAGGAGGCGTAGGAAGAGAAGATACGCATTGACTAAATCCTCGAATACAAACATATATCAAACCAAGCGTATCAAGTTTAAAAAATCCTACTTATTCTTTTCTAAAAAAGAGGGGAGGACAAGCTTATAAATTTAAAAGCCTTCAACTCTTTCTTATTAATATTTACAAAGGGGTTGAAGAACTAAAGTAACCCTCTTTAAACTCGTATATAACTACCTACGAAGGCACGCCGTATACATCTTTTAACAAAGCTAATCTGTTTTCAGATTTACTGAGCGCTCAGTTTTTTTTTAATTCCTTTATTCTTATGATACTTTTTCTGCTCTGCTCTCTTTTCTCCAAACCAGTGAAGAACGGACGCTCGATGACTCGCTGGCATTTACAATGGTGGAGAAATAATTCAGGTGAAAATATATACTTTCCACTGAAAAAGCGAGAGGTTCAAAAATGTGGTACATCTAATCTATTGCTTTAATATCTCTTTGACTGAATACACATATTGAGGCATGTTTCTTTTAAGGACAATCCTTAAAAGCTGGACTTTCTGATGTTATCGATTTCAAAGACGACTACTATTAGTCACGCGATCAAAGTTTCGCCCAATAAGCCTAGTGCCTCGAAAAAATCGCAAAAGCGCTTGTCTTAAATTGAAGGTCGTTAATGAGAAGTTGAAAATTCCTAAGGTCTGGTGTAGTTCTACTTTCATACAGGCCATTCTATTACTCAAAAGATCTTAAGCACTTCTGAATACGATACTAAAACGGTAAATGATTAAAAGTTACAATAAGTGCTCTGAGACGTTAAAAAAGTTATAAAAACGTAGGTACTAAGTATTAATACTAATTATAAAAAAGGCAGTAGACAATATTTCTATTTACCTGATACAATTAAAGTGTCCTTTTTTAAAATAGAAAATATAGGGTTACGATAGGGACCCTTACCTTCGATTCATACCTTCTTTCAGCCTATGTCTTACAAGGCTTTCTTTTGTCCCCTCCGTTATTTTCTATCTTAACTTTTGAAATTTCCACAGTCAACAGTGTTTCCTTGCCAGTAGATTGATGGCGTTTTAAATTTAGCCCTATGGCTATAAAAAAAATATACAATCATACTTAGACCTTTAAAAAACTGGTTCACAAGTAATAAACTGAAGCTTAATCCAATAAAATTCAAGGCCTTATTTAACGAGTAGAAGAAAACCTCGCCCTGGGAGAAATTTACGACTTTTTAACGATCTCTGGTGCACGCAGGCTAAATACCTTGAGGCAGTTGTTGGTAACAAGTTAAAGTGGAGCGTTCACTTAGGCTTTTAACTTACAATCTTTAAACTGTTAACGTTTTATACCCTTTACTCAGAGCAAATTAATTCTATCTAGTAAGCTGCTTCCATAAAATGCATGTGAAGGCCTATTTTCACGCATGCGTGTTCCGTGTAGATCTACTCTTCTGAGACACAAATAGACCACAAATCCTGCTAAACAACCACGTATTGCGTAGTAGATCCCCTTTAATAGTTATAAGTTGACACATACAAGGTTTGCGTTCCTGGGAGACAACAATTTTAACTTTATAATATTCTTATGTATGGCCAGCTCAAGTACTTACACGACTACAAGTAGTGATATTTTGGTTGATTAAATACTTCGAGTCGCGACAAGCTATTCAGAATTTAATAATGGATAGCGCCTTAAACATCATACTTATTTCGTAAGTACTGGGTGGACTTAAAAACTGGTTGTTTATTAAAAGTGCTTTACCTAAAGTACAACGAATATGAGCGGATAAAGCAAAATTTGAATATTTTTTATTGAAATTACTTTAGTTTATTTTACCTTCCCCAACCAAAACAACTAGTTGCAAGCTTGTAAATAAGCAGAAAGCGACTATTCAATCCCCAAAAGTGTTCTATTATTTTTTATTGCTAGAGCCTTTAGATTAGCATCCAAAGTAGCTTTAGACACTAAAATCATCCGATAAGCTTCATAACATAGAAGAATGGTTATCTTCCGAACTTTGAATGATGGCAAGTAACGAAAAATTCTTGAAATCAGCATCTTGGTCCATAAAAGTTTTAACGGCTTTAATCATACTCTAATATTGTAGCTAAAATGATTATAAAAAAAAGGTTTTTAAATCTTAATGCCTTAAAAGAGCTCTCTTGCGTGATGCCGTAAGAAACCGGAAACTGTTTCCTACCATCCAACTCATAAATTACGTTTTTAACCTTTACAAAAGCCACAAAATGCCCATCGACAGCAGCGGTTGAAGAAAGCTACATAAATTTTTGCCAAAAAACTTAAAATAACTTTTAATAGAACGAATACGCTTGTCTGGCCTTCAAGGGAGGCTATATGATGAAGCGCAGCAAATGATTTCTCAAATTCCTTTAAATACTTGAAAATTCGTATATGACTTAAATGAAAATAATACTCTAGCTCTGCCGTTCGGGTCCAAGTGAAGAGTTGTGTGATAAAACTTTTCCATAACGCCACACTCTAAAAAGATCGCCATAGAAAGTTAACCTACAAACACAGCTGAAGTAACCTGAAAATTTTATTTTATCATAATTATTCAAGATGACATGTGTTAGAGCGAGGGAACCGCAAGCGTTTAGTATTGTTTGTTTTACAAAAAAAACTAGTTTGTCTGGCTTCTACAAATTAACAAGTATATAAAATGGTATAGTTAAAAACCTTACATAACAACCTCTAAACTAGCCTCCTTTCCAGCCCCCAGTTTTTTATACTTGCAAGTTTATATAAGCTAGATGAGTTTGATAATAATATAGTAAGTAAACGTACTTTTTCCGTCATTGGAAACAGAAGAATTATTCCATATACCGGCTCAGGTATTAAAAAAAGCGCATCTATCTCATGTTATTATGTAATGATCATATAGTTTTTTATATAACAAAGAGAAACCTTCCTCAAGGCTGTATATGTCACAAACTTCGACTCCTTCTACTCCCAGCTTTTTTAAGTACTATAAAAACATACAAAATATTTTAGAATCAAATGCTGGTCACGCCTCTTAGACTTAAAATTAAACGGTAACAAGAGGCCATATTTTAGTAGTAAACTTTATTGCTATGAACTAAATAAACTGAAACGAGCTATTACCCTTGACATCACTTCAGGACTTGACTCTAAAGGTAGCCAAACTGCCATTTTTTGTCACGAAATTAGGAACTAAGTATTCGTGTTCCTATTTTAACCCACGATATATAGCAATTAATATCAGATAATATCAGTAGTTGCACTACTCTACTGTAAAATAAAGGGTGCATGAGTAAGATATAGCAAAGAACTAGTTTTAATACCCCACGCCAAACGACAGCCCCTCACCCGAGCAACTTCTATTATAGAGATTTAGTAGAGAGCCAAAAATATCCTAAAAAAATTTAATCATTCCTCTAATCTTACGAAAAAACTAATTTTTAATAGAGGAATACAATAAAAAGAAAAACACACTTAATACTTAATTAGCTCGTTTTACATATTTTTATATATAAATTTTCTTAATTATTTTATCAGTATTATTTATTTAACCCCTCATCACCCCTTTAATGGTTATTTTGAAGATAAAGTTCTTAAAAAGAATATCTAAATTAATAGCTACTACCAAAAATTTTAAGTCTAAACTAGGCTCAGCAATTAAAATCACTGTGAATTTAAGTACGCCTCCTGAGAAAAGCTTGGGGGAACAGTTAGCTTCAAAAATCGTGACGGAAAAGTGTTTGGTGCTTATGCACTGGTCAAGGAAATAGTAAAACTATCTTTGAAAAAAGCAGTACTTAGATGAAATAGAACTAGTTTCAAACCTTACACATAAAATTATAAAAAACCAGCCTGGAAAGAATTGAAAATTAGATCAAAAGCTCTTAGAGCTATGAGAAATAGGTAAAGGGCGGAGGGGAAAGATAACGATCTTTTTGGAAGATTAGCATGACTGCGTGCTGCGGGGCCGCTGATACTCCTGTATATGCCGAAAATCAAGGATCGGCAATCTTAGGAACAATCATTATGTTATCTGCTAATAAAATTTAGCCATTGCGAAGAAAACTGCATAGGGCATAGCCTTGGCTACAGAGTATTAAAATCTATGCAGAAAACTGAGATAAACTTTATTCAACTAGCAAACTAAAACAACGCTGCTTTGAACAGCGGTCCCGTGCTTTATATAAATAGTATGACCTCGGGTAATTTCGAAGAACTGAGCCAATCATTGTAAAAGTTTCAGCCAATGAGGTTGTCCGAATTTTAATACTACAAGTAAATTTTGGTTTCCTTTTTTGTTAAAAAAAAGAATTGTGTTTATGCTGGCGCTTTGTTATATGAAAATGCTATCAAATAATTGATTAGAAGTTTGTTACAGAGCAAAGAACTGTAATGTTATCCACTTTGCGTTCAAGTGCGAGGAAGATCACTTAACTTTACAATGCCGGAAGCCCCTTGAATTGAAATGGACTAAGTGCGGAGAAGGTCACACTTCGAACTATCACGGCTCTATAAAATACTTTCGTTAATCTACTAATATAACCCCAATATGTCAGCGATAGGAGGAAACACAACCAGTAACGTCGGCAACAACCCCCGAACGAAAAGGCAGCAACAGCAACACCTGCAACAACAATGGCATCCTGTTACCCGCATCAGCTTAAAGCGAAATATTGGCACCACTTGCTGATACCCTCAACGCCATATTTAACCAATGTAATTAGCTCACCAATAATGGTTACTTGATCCAGCTCACTGCCCCAGTTGCGACTTTTACAATGGAATTTTAATAATGCATTGCAAGGGTGCGAGCTGGTAGGATTGCTTTAGCGCAAAGATGTGGAGGTCGCAATTATAAGCGACATATGGTGCATTTCAACTATTAAATCTACCTTACTATTCGGTTGCTTTTTTTAAACTATTATGGGCGTAGAGGCTGAGTAATTCCGTCTCCACTTAATGTAGAATGGGTTTATAACTCCCCCCCCACTTTCCTCTCTGCCCAATCTGCTGGCCGCAACACAACTGATTTAGATGCGCTGCTGCATCTTTACCCGCTCTGTAGTACCTGAAGCGACTTTAACTGCAAACATGAACGTTCTGCTTACATTGGGCGAAGGTTAAGATCACAGTAAAGGCTTGGAAACGGTCATTCACGGGCTAGTCAAAGTCTTAGGCTACTTCTGGATGAAGAGGCACCAAATACTAATGGACTCATTAAGAGCACAGCTGTGAATTACTATAATATATTCAATGTACTTCCGCATTGAGGAACCCCCAGCCTCGAATACATCTTAATGAGATACCAAAAGACGAACCACAAATTAGAATAAGTTATCTACACTGTCTTGAAAACTATGTGATGTCACCTTGCTTTTTTCTAAGGCTTTTGCTGTGGAATGCATCGCTGCCTACTTCAGGGATCAGCAAATTGCACTTAATAGGCTGTTCTAGTAGTCGGAGACTGTAGAAGTACGATATGTTTGTAATTTTCTGTTCGAATTTCAAAACACTCACTCTATTTTCAATATATAGTTTGTATTTATACTGGTTTGTATTAGCCAAAATTCGGCAGAGCTTCCATAGAAATAACGGCCTCCAAAATTTAAGTACTTGCTGAAAAATTTAGCGAAGCTTTGCGGAGCACGTAAAAACCGCCAAAATGTTACATATTGTTTACTTTGTTTAAAAGTAGTTTATGATATAGTTAACTGGTTCGTCTTAAGCTTATTTCTTCTGAGTGGTTTACTTTTGTCTAAGTGTAAGTGTATGCTGTTCGGAAAAAATGAGTTTTTGTTGTCAGGATTAAAAAATATTTAAGTCGCATACGTATACTAATTTTAATTATATTTTTAAAAAATTCGATATGTTTGAAATACTTTCCACTAAAAAAATATTTTCAGGTTTTGGTAGCTTTTAGCCTATTTTAGTTTATTGTAGGTTCAGATCTTTACTAAAGTTTATTTGGAGAAGTAAACGAGCGTGTTTTTGTAGATATGTTCCCGAGTATCTCCTTTTAAAGTTCATTGTCAATGTAGTGGTAAGCAATTTAAATATGCATTACTCTCTTATTCGAAGCGTAAACTTTAACTACTTCATTACTTGTATAAAATTAAACCTAATTTCTTAATTTGGTTAAATTTTACGAAGTAATTTTTTATAGCCAAAGTGTTCGAAATCAGCTTCCTTAAGACAATGTACTCGGCACCATAAAAATTTTTTTAATTTTATTGAGGAGCATTGTACTGGAGAGCTATTAATTTATTTAATGTAGCCCATTAAGGCTCTATATTCGTAAGAGTCGGCTCAAAAAAGACATCTGTAGCATACTCATTTAACAAACTGTTTTCAGAATAGTTATTATATTAAAAAAAAATTAAAGGTTCCCTGTTTAATAGGAAGTTCAGTGTTTTTAGCGCGAATTCTATATATTCTTCATTATTGCAGTGGAGGAAGCAACTCAGTAAGGATTTTGCGTATGAGATAGCTGACCTAGAGTTTCGCCATGCAAAGAATTAATTAAACTAAAATACTAAATGTTAGTGTCTCCATCAGTTAAAATTTAGTACAGGTGAGCAAAGACCCTCTGCATATGGTTTCTGTATTAACAATTAACTCTAAGTAGTCGATGTGTAATTTAATTTATGAAATAAAAATCTTCATTGTCTTTTAGGTTAATACCCAAAATTCTTTTAATTTTGTTGCATTCTTTACATTAAACTCATTTTTTGAGCAGTAAGGAAGATTTCGGGGGGGCCCCAATTATTATGCAGTCATCAACTTAAATAAATGATTTGTTTCATAGTTGTTGAAGTAGGAAATGCATATTTCGGTTTTATCTCGTTAAAAATTAATTCTTAGTAGTCTGTTGTTTACGTTTTTGTAAAAGAGGTCTATTGATCCCTTTAATCCCCAACATTAATTTCTAAGCACATTTTCTATATTTGTTTAGTGCTCCATTAGTCGGTTTCTTTGTTGAAGTTGAGTTTGTTAATAACAAAATGTAGGCACGGGGGTATGCTTGATAAGCTGGTTTTAAATTTCGTATTTAAAACTATCTTATTTATATCTACTGTATGTATGAAATGGTTTTTTTTAAAATTTGGCGAATGTAGTGATTAGTCGGATCGATAATATAAAAAGGAAGGGAAAAAATCCTTGATAATCAGTGCCCCATCATATTTATTAGGATATTCTCGCAGCCAGTCTTGCTTTAAAATGGTTGTTAAACTTAACATGAAGTCTCAATGTAGTTGTAATAATTTTCTCGTAGTATAAGTTGTTTGTACTAATTATACCAACTCTGCCGTGCATCTCGGTAATATTTTTTGTAATCCAACTGCTTAACCTCATTATATGCCAGGTAAAAACGTTGTACCATAAGGTTGGCGTAAGTTTTTCGTTTTATTGGTTGAATGTTAACAGTCGCAAAAATCTTTTTATTTGACACATATTTTAGAAACATGACAATAGATAATGGCCATAAAAGAAAGCTTGTTTTCTAATTCGATTTCTTCAGCCAGATTTTTGTTAGGACTTATCGATTTATAATTTAAACATGGCTACCGAATGTCAGGGGATATTTTACACCTATAATATTTTGTTTTTATGTTTTTGAGGTTCTTTAGGGTTTCTGCTATTAGGAGTATACTATATGTTGCGTGACTATCTAATTACTATATCCTAGCCCTTAATCTTAAATTTCGAGCTATTTTTCTTATCAATGATGCCCGCCATTTATTGATAGTAAGTTTAACTATATGTACATTCTTTAATGTTTATAATGTAAATTGCCTCCGGGCTAGGCTGAGAAGATTGTATTTGAGATGGTATCCTAGATTATATTTTTTATAATACTTATTTATGTCCTTCGGGTTTTAAGTAAAAAGGGGTATTTAGTGCTATTAAAAAGGAAGATGTTTACAAAATATACTCTCTTTTAATCTTACTATTTTCCCTGTTGATGCATTACTCGTTCCCGGTGAAATCTGTTAGCTTAAAAAAAAAGAATTTTTATTAGTTCTCGATCTTGAGATCGTAAAATAAGAATTTACAACCTAGAGTTTTGTGATATTTCAGCCCATTGGATAAAAATCCGACAATTATATTCGTTCTCTTCTTTAAGGTTATTAATGTGGGTAGGGCTTCCCTAATTTTTATTCAAATATAGACTGTTTTAAGATATAACATGCGATGACAGACGAGGTCTACACTTATATCTCCTAGCACATAGTAATGTTGTCATCTGTTACTTTTAAAATGTATGTCAAACCTTCTTCAAATCAATTTACCTGGAGATGTAAAGTTATGCTTAAACTTTTAAAATAATATGCTTTACTGTGATTTAAAAAAAGTTAAATTAACCAGCTTGGTGAGCCTCAGTATGTTTTTTTATTGCGTTTATAACCTTTTTATTACATCGAAAATCAATTAACAATTTTTTATATTTAATGAAATAAGGATAGGCACCAGTATTAACAACCACTTTAATTTCGGGGTTTGTGAGTTTGTATAAGGGCTGCGGACTATATTACGCAAGGATTGTTGCTCGATACGTCCAATTTCACCACAAATGTTCCATGTATTCATTATGTACGAACACTGAGATCTCAAATGCTGACCAGGACAGTCAGTGCACTACAGGGATCGACCTTTTAAGTACTTTTAAAGGTTGCTTCCTCCCTTTCAATTGTTGATTACAAGAGGTATTAGAGCCATATTGACTTTGTGCCTGTTTATAGCTTGTATAAAGCATGGAGGGCATAACGCTGGTCCCGGCTTGCAGGATTATTACTATAATATTGTTCTAATGATATAACATCATACTTAAATTCCTTACTTACCCTGGGGAAAAAAACTATAATTTTATGTATATTGGTAATTTCAGTAATATGAGTTAAGACCTTTTAAACGGAGCATTACTTTTCTTGACTTTAAACGTTTGGCAAGTCATCTCTCTTTTCTGTAATATAAATTCATATTTTTTTTGCTCATTACTGTAACAGTTGATTTTCCTTCTAAAAATGCATCTTAACCAAATTGATTACAAGCTTTAAAGCGGTTACTCTTAATTCTTAAATTCTTGATTTAATTTCAGGTGGAGACAGTTCATTTTAATGGTAGCTATATAAGTTCTTTAGATGGAATAATTTCAGGTCCTTCAATTTTTCATGCGAGAGTAAAATGTCTTCAAGCCCTGAGGTACTTGATGCCAATTTTATATTTACTAGCCGTTATCTTAATCGTGTTGGGTCTCATAATATTTCTCCACTCCACATTGGAGGCTGTATAAAAATATGGTGGGGCTGCATAATTCGAGAAGGTCAAAATTTAACTAAAATGGGATAAGCAATTAAGATTAACTGAAACAGCAGTAAGGTAAAGCGAGAGAAAGCAGAAAAAATAATTTCAGCATTGTATAAATAAGGATCGAAGTTCTAGAGTTATGTAGGAGAAAAAAAATAAAAAAGTTTCATAACGATGTCGCTATAGATCTTTAGCCTCACGTCGTCCCGGTACTGGTAACGTACTAAAACAACAGAGATAATAAAAGACTAGGAGTAGCCTTAGTATTTTTAATTAATTACAATCTTTCGCGGGTGCTCGAGAAGGTCGAGCATAGGCCGCTCTAGAGTCTTGGTTTAAGCGGGACCCCCCGAGGGGGTATGACGACTGCCTTGAAACGGTACGGGATAGCGGAAGCGTATTACCCACAATAACGACAGCCTTTTATTAATGCGAAGAAGAAGTTAGTAAGCCATTTAATGGAACTTAAAACATTACAAATACAAAAAAAAGAATACTTTATTAGCATGCTTTTGGATCTCCTAGAGCTAACAATTTTGACTTGTGATACTACAGTAGGGTATACAATATTAAATAACGTCAATCACAGAGGTGGTAAAAAATTGATAAAAGCAGAATACAATAATTTACTCGTGAAGTCGAATACATGGTCTCCGTAGGCAATTATGGGCTTATCATCTTATAAAACTTTTACGTCTAGAAAAACAATAGCACACTTTTACAAAGGTAGAGGACGTCTAAACACCATGACCGGTAATGCCTCAAGTTTTACGCCAATTATATTATAAAACATGTCACGGCTAAATAATATAGCAGAGATGTTTACTAATAATTTAGCGATTCAGAAGCGTATATCTTTGCTTGATGTTATATTCAAAAAGACACAACAATAGTATTTAAATTTTTTAAAACATCCTTTAAAATTTCAAATAGATAGAGATGCGACGCTTGACCTTTTATTTTCTTTGTGTTTTACTTGTTACACTTTACTTAGAATCGTGTCAAAAAGACTTCCAAGTTTGATGGGGTTAATACCAAAAATCGCAAATATTCGCGAATTTTTAAATAACAGAGCACAAGCAAGAACACTAGTAGGTTAAATTCGTAAAACCATCATACCGTAATCGAGACTTGTCCTCGTAGCTCAGTTTTTAAGAGCATTGACGCGCATACTCAAAGGGTTCGATTCCCACCGACGCGACTCTCTTTTTCGGTTTTTGATGGTCGCGTATTCAACCTCGCCCTCGTAAAGTCTAATAAACGCAACTTCTTTTGTTTGCAAAAAAGGAACCTAGTAAATAGTGATATGCGACAATTTCGAGGTCTAGACTTAGGTACATGTGAAACGGAAAGCAGTCCTTGTAATCTTCCACCATCAATAACAAGTTAACAGTGAAATTAACAATTAATCATGTCTCACCTGATTTCAAATTCTTAGTCTCGTTGGGTGGAGGGATCTAAATTAATTGGCCTTAGATTTGTAACGGGACTCTTTGCTATTCTAAAAGTTGCGTTTCTAGGTTTCGCAGCTCCTATTTTTAGTTCTAACCTACTTTTACGTGCTAACTAGAGTTTTTAACTTTTGTTGTTATTGAAATATGGATGGGGCCATAACAGATATAGTCATTGCTAGGGAGGGAAATGTTCCTGAAAGTTATATTCAGGTGTGCTGTATTTTATTTATAATATTTAAATTAAAAATACAATCCCGACATAGGTATCCAAATCGTACGGAGGCTACTCCACCATTTTGACCAAAGGGGCTTTGTCCAAGAAGAATTATATTATTTGTTATTCTGTTGAAATAATTTCGTCGACTGTAATAACCGATATAGCCGTGGTAAAGGAGGGAGAACCTGTGCCTTTTAATTTTAAAAAGATTAGTTCTGAAGGTTAAGTTCTAAATAACCATTTCTTAATTGTTTTGCATTTACATACATATGAAGCTTCCTTTAGTGGAGCTCTCTACATCGAAAGGGAATTGAGAGAAAAAGCCACGGTTTACATAACTAATTTAGCCACCTATTTACCTAAGAAGAAGGTATATATTAAAGGAAAGGATGCCTTACTCCTTGAGTTCACCTTTTAATTGTTTATCAGGAATTTCTTGGAGAGTCTTACCAGTGTCTGAGCACTCCCGTCTCGGAAGGCATTTGTATCGGCTTTGTAAAAGTCACTCGAGAACTAACACCTCAGTTTAGGGAAGTTTTGCTTCTTGATTAGTTTTATATATAGGAAAGTTCGTTTTCAGGACTTACATTGAGTTGTATATTTGTGTGCTGCTGTTTAACTTAGTTATAGTTAAATTTATTTTAATTTTTAGTTCCGTCTATATTTTACTTTATAGGAAGTTACCCGTACCAGGCAGACCTCTAAATTCGAACTTATCGCGCACTTCCCTCCCAGAAGAGCACAATTACTATGAAAATCTTTTAAAGTTTAACCATCCATCTTTAAAACTTTCTTGTACATGTTAGTAATTTTTTTTTGTTGCACAGGTTAAACATTACTTTCTAAATTAAGTTTTATTTTTTCTAGATTTTTACTGGTGTATTTAATTGTTTTACTTAAATGAGTAAAGTAGTTATAACTAGTGTTTTGCTAAAAGCCTTTGTTTTCTATAAAGGAACTCTACTACTGACAAACCTCTTGCTCGAAAGCCGTCTTGCGATATTCCTATTGCCCTTAACCTTCAAGTAACAGCGCCCGTAAAGGTATTACTTTTCCATTCTTTCGGGGTTACTGTCAGAAAATTTTTTATCAATACCCAGCTGCAGCTCAACGTTTTACCGTCCAAGTCCGAACTTACCGCAAAGGTAAGACTTGTTTTATAGTTAAACAAAAAAAAAGTTGGTCGTACTACTTGTGCTAACGAAGTTATTGGTAGATATCATTTTTCGCGGTTTTTGTTAAAAAAAAAGGTTTCAAATTTTATTAAGACTTTAATAAATATTATTTTATTATTATAGCCTTCAAACTTAGTTGTTCAACTTTTTTTTCGTTGTTATAGTTTCCAATTTTTGATTTCTCTTGCGAACGGCAGTTGCTTTGCGGAGGGGACAACTCTTTTGGTAGTAAAGGGCCTTTCGAATAAACTATTTAATAAAACGTTATATATTTTTTAATTATAATTCCCCCAGTTATAAAGATTCACTTATTTTACCTGCTTGTCAGTATATATTTTGCTTAATATTAGTTTATTTTCTATTAACCTTGAATATTGTTTTTGGTCTTTCGTTCGTGACTTTTAAGACTTAAAACATATTGAGAAATCTTAATAGAACTGTTAAGCGAGCTGCACAAAACTCGTTACTCTCAAAATGGAGAATTCGTATGGTTAAGAGTAAAGTAGCCTCGAAGAAATCAACTTACTTTCGATGAACTTGTGCTTCCTTGGCAACGACTGTTGCTGATTCTTGCGCACCCCAGAAGCATCAATTACTGAGTCAATCCTATTTTTAAAAGTTTACGCTACAACATTTTTACTTTTAAAGCATTTACTCGAAAGCCTAATTTTGAAGTTTATCACTTTGTAAATTACAAGTGTATAGCAAAAAGACCAATTATAACATGTGGAAAATTTATAATATATATTTTGGATTATTTAACAATTTGCTTTTTAAATTTTCTATAATTATTCATAAGTTTTATCTTATTTATTATTACTTACCTTATGCGGCCATGCTTTAAAACTGTAGAATACTACCGTTTGTAAGCCAGTGTCACTCTGTCTTAACAATATTAAAAATGGAGTATTTATAATTTACTTCCGATCAAACCAATATAGCTAACTGAAATTTATCTCAATATTGCGTATAAAACTATCAATTATAATAATTATTATAGAACATAATACATAATGTTAAGTATCATGCCTGAATTATAAAGATCAGTGAAAAAAGAGCTATCAGAACCGCTTCTTATTGAATTCTGTCTATTCAATATTAAAAGGAAAACTTTTAATTTTAGAAATATTTTACTTACAGTAATAGTATTGACTGGCCTTATAGGTGGTTCGTTCCCCTTCGTATGATTAAATTAATACAGTAGAACGATATTAGCACACTACTAATGTGTAACATAGAAGAAGAAGTGAAATTTGTTGGAGGGGGGGGGGATGATCCAATAATAGTGCGTGAGTTTAAATGAAAAGAAAATTTTCCTTAGCTCTGTCGAATTAAAAGCTTAATGCTTATGAAAACTATATATTATATATATTATAAATAACAAATAGTATAACATAGGTTTGTCGTAAAAAGAAAAAAACTGTAATAATTGTTTTAATAATTTTAGAGGTTGCCTAGAGAGCACGACCCCGCATCAACCAAATAAACTAACAAAAAGCATAAAAAGAATGTGTGCATGCCGCCTCTTTCATAGTACCAATTATTTTTTTATTTGTAAATGAACAGTTCCTGATGCTTGATCGAGTCATCAAACTTCGAATACTCGAACTCTTAACAGGGGATAACACCAATAGTTAGGTGCCCTCACGTTATATACATACACTTTTAAAATAGGCATAACTATACATAATTTTTAATAAGGTTTAAAGGTTATTTTAAGTATTTATTCTATACGTATCTCACAGGCACAAGATTGGCTAACTTCTTACTTTTCTTCACAAAAAACACAATAAAATAACACATTACTCTAACTCAATATGTGCATATCTAGTAACAGTTTTTTTATACCAAACAAACATGCTTTCCCCAATAAAAAGCAAAAATTTAAACTTTAAACAAGTGCATACGTATATAAAACCTTATAAAAAACAAAATCATTACAATGAGAGGAACCAACATAAATTTGTTTTAAAAATTCTAATAGCTATTTTTAATAATAATGGTTTAAGCTAGCTTTTTTAATTGCACCTAAGATTTTTAGACTGGTTAGATATATTCAATGAGGGCTACTTTAAAAAAAATTATAAAAAATTATACTTACACCTGTTACGTTTAGTAAAATTTTAGTCATGAAGGTTAAATTTTATTCAAAAAATTAACAGACCCGTTTATTTAAGTTTAAATTGCGAAGTTATAAGTAAATATAAATAAACCTTGGAATAAAACTAATCAGACATTATAGAAGCGGAATAAGGCAGCTATTAAAGATTAACAAAGAAAGCTGCGTTCTGCGATACAGATGGAGATTTACGAGTTTGCTAGCCTAAGCTCTAGTTCGGGGTTATAACTCTTAATTTCGGCATAATGTTAATGTATTCATTATTAAAATATTAACTTTACTTTTTTATCTCTATCAAAGTTTGACAAACACGTACCCGTGATCGCGACATTGACTTTATGCGTCAATATTAATTACTGAACTACAATACAAATCATATATTTTATTTTTTTATCCCACTTAAGCTTTTTTTTACCAATGACCAATTGAAAATCTTCTTAACCGCTAAGCTCGTGTGCCTTTTACATTGTGGCGACATTAGCATATTTTCATTTGAGTGTATTACATGAATATTCATTCTTTATTTATTCTTTTTAACACGAATTGAAGAGATACATAAACTGTAATTAAGACGAATAGTAATATATGATCGAATTTGTTGTTCCATACTTGAATTATCCCTTAGTAGTTATTACGCTGTTGTTTAGTTCAATATTTGTTGTAGCAAATAATTTGAAGCACAAGAGGAATAAAAAGGTTAACATAACCTGTAGCTTATAATTTTTTTTAAAAATTTACCTTTTTTTAGAAGCCAGTTCCTACCTTACGCTATGAAAGCTTTTTGGAATTAATGCAAAGAAACGTAACAATTTTAACTTAAGTTTTTGTTTTTTATTATTTATCTTTGATTCCTTGTATATAAAGTGGGGTTTATGTTTATTTTTATATATTTCCTTATGAAATAAAACTTGTACGCATAATTTTCGTTATTTTAATTAAGGGAAAGGACATGATCTGTTTTTATGGTTCTCAAACTGGCACAGCGGAAGGGTTTGCATCTCGGTTGTCCGCTGAAGCTTCAGCGTATGGCTTCAATGCTTTGACCGCAGATCTTGAAGATTATAACTGCGTTATATTATATATGTTATAGTGCTTTTGTTATTATTATATAAAACAAGTAATTATTATAGTTTGATTTTGAAAGCGAGCTACTTGAAGATAAGCTTGTTGTCTTTTTCATCGCCACGTATGGGGATGGTATAGCCTCCTTTAAGCTCCTCTGTCTTATTTTCCTTTGTTCTGACATTCTGCCAATTTTTTTTATTTTATTAAAGTGGTTTTTATTGCAAGGTGACCCCACAGAGAATGCTCTTTCATTTTTTGAATATATAAAAGAGCAAGTTAGTGAGGAATCCCCCAAATACCTGAGATATGCAGTAAGTACTTCTTTGCGTACTTGTTAAGAATTTTATTTTATGTTTAATATTCATTTTAATGGACTTATTAGGTGTTTTCACTGGGAAATTCAACTTACGAACATTATCAAGCAGCCGGTCGTTACGTCGATCACCGTTTAGAGGAACTCGGCTGTATACGTCAGTTTATAAGGGGTGAAGGTGACGATGAGGGAATGTATTATATTATTCTACAATCTTCTTATTTTTTTGAAAATAAAAGTTGAAGTCGCCATTATTTATATTATACTGTTTAAGAATAGAAAATGACTTTACAGCTTGGAAAAATAAATTTTGGTTGACTGTTTGTAAGAAGTACGGAAAGGAAGTCCCTGAAAACTTCTCTCAGATAGACATCTTGTATTCTTCTCAAACAAGTGCTGAATTGGCTGCTTATTTGTGGATTTTTCTTAGGAGCCGGAAATACAGGCTTGAAGTTCATCATGAAGTTGTTGGTTTACCTGTCAATACCGGTCGGCTCGCAAAACTTGATTCGGGAGGGTACAGCCACCGAGCAACTTTGAAAGCTCCCATGGACGTCCCTGTAATCCTCAACAAAGAGCTGTTTACGGGGTCGGCTCGATCGTGTCGTCACGTGGTGTTGGATATTGCAGATATTAACATCAGGTAGGATCGGCGTGTGGCTGAGTGCTGGAGCTACCTAGAATGTTTTTCTTGCCCAGTAGCTATCAAGCAGGTGATCACGTGGGCATTTATCCCTGCAATGATTGGTTAATGGTTGAACGTCTTGGCCGAGCGCTACGAGTTGACTTGGACACTGTCGTTTCTTTTCATTCCTTGGACGCATTTAATAGCAAGGAAATCTTCCCAAAGTTACTTCCCGTTGTCATGTTCATTGCTCTTATAGCAACTTTTTTAATTGGTAGCCCGTGTTCTTACCGGACGGCCTTTCGCCACTTTGTAGACATCAACGGGGGGCCCACGCCGCACCACCTGCGTGTCTTCGCTGAATACGCCGAAGGAAACGACAGAGAAAGGCTCTTGTTTCTTTCTTCTGAAGCCGTATTGAAAAGAAACTTAGCGCCTTTTAACATTTTTAGAACTTTTATACGCCCTTGACAGGGAAAAGAAGATTATGAAAAATTTGTAGTGGCTGACATGCGATGTTTTGCGGAGGTTTTAGAGTATTTCCCCTCCCTGCAACCGAGTGGTATCGTATTCCATATGGCTTTTATCCTTATAAATAATATTTCTTTTCTTCTGTCTTCGTAGTGGACCACTTCATTGAGCTTCTTCCTCGTCTGCATTGTCGCTACTATTCGATTTCTTCATCTCCCAAGCAGCACGCCCACCATATACACGTGACTGCATCCGTGGTCAGGTTCAACTCTTCGTGTTTTACATATATAAAGTTTATTTTTATTTTTTTTAATATGTTATCATTTGCATAAAACGCCTTTATCTGAAGTGATATTCTTTACTTTTTATAGCTATAAAAGTCCACTTGGGCGGACTATTAAAGGCGTCTGTTCTTCCTATTTGTCGTCTTTGACTCCAGGTCAATCTGCGGAACCTCCGCGCGTCCCAATATTCGTTCGTTCTTCCTCCTTCAAGTTAAGAGTGTGTTTTCTTGGATATCTTTATTTCATCGTTAATTGTTATTTATGATGTTACTTATGTTTTCTTACGTTTACCCTTTTACGGTCTCTTATTTTAAGCTTGGCACTTACGGCCTTTAAATAGTTAAGCGTATTCCTAGTTGCTTAATTTTACAACTTATTAACCTTACAGCACATGTTAAAGTTTATCAAAATTGCAGGCTATTATTATAGCGTATTGATTGGTGACATATATCTCAATAAAGTTTGTTGTTTGTTTAGCACCTTTTAAAGGCAGTATTTTAAACGCTTTTTCTTTATACAGGTTGCCACGAGACCGTTCTGCGGATGTTATAATGATTGGACCAGGAACTGGTTTTTACTGATATTAATGGCTACCGATGTACCCCAGTATCCAACATATGCTACCTTGATGCCTTCAGGGCTTGCGCCTTTTCGGGGGTTCCTCCAGGACAGGCATTACCATCTTAGAAAAGGTTTTCCAATTTCGGTAACCTTAACCAGTGAAGACCGAGTTGTGTTTTCAGGAGAATGCGTCGGTGATACCGTCCTTTATTATGGCTGTAGGACTTCGAACCATGAATTTTTATATAAAGAGGAAATAATGCATTATTACAAAGAGAAAGTGATTACAAAGCTGTACGAACTCTCTTATTGTTAACTGGACTATAATACCGTTCCTTTTTTGTAGGTACCTCGCCTTTTCAAGAGACCAAGAAGAGAAAGTTTACGTCACTCATTTACTTAAGAAAAACAGTAAAGAACTGATGAAGTATATGGAAAACGGTGCCTATATCTTTATATGCGGGTAAAGAGTATATATAAATAATGATTTGCAGCGTATTTTTATTACTCATATAGAGATGGAAAGCGGATGGCTAAAGATGTCCACCAAGTAATTTGTTCAGTCGTTCAGGAAAGAAAGGGTTTGCCGCTATTACTTCATTTACCAGAGATAAAAAAAAATTTTTTTTTTTAAGTTTTTAACGAAAAAGAGACGGTGGAATATGTCCAAAAACTTCAAAGGGAAGGAAGAATTCTACAAGATGTTTGGTGACGTCATCGCCGTTTTATAAAATTTTAGAATAAAAGTATCTTATTTCTAGTGCTTGCCAGGGTGAAAGATAAGGCGTTTTAAGATCTATAACCGACTTGAGACGTACAGAGAGAACAAGAGGAGAAATACCGTTATTTAGTCTTATAACCGGTTGATTTTTTGGTTTATGTAGAAGATAAGGATTGTAGACCGAACTTGTAATTATAAATTTCATGATTCTAGTTACTTTAGCTACCCTTAAGCAAACATGGAGTGCAGGTCTCACTTTCACCTCTTGAGCGCGTGCCTTATTAGACTTTAGAAGGGGTGTTTTTCGGTCTTTAAGATTGCTTTAAAAGGATCGCCGTATGTTAAAAAAAGTTTAAGCGGGTTTATAGAAAATTAAAAGAAGTAAGTAAAAGTTAAAAGTAATCATAATAAATATCTGTAAATATAGGCCAAGTGTCTATGCACTTCGAAATAAAGCTAAAAAAAAATTTATTAACACGGTTAGTTGGGGAGTATCCTTTAAGAATATTCAAATGTAGGTTCATGTTCTGCGGGTTAAATGTATTAATTAGAAAGATGCCGGCAGTACATGGATGATGGCAGTTCACGTCTCTTTTTATGGTCCTGCTGCTAACTAAAACTGAAATACACCTATGCAATGGCTGATAGTCTAGCAGAGTATTCGTAACCTTCTTCGTTGCCATTGTTATTTACTCGAGTCTTCTAATTTTTGTTTTCCCTTTTACAAAGAACTTCTTATCGAAGCCTTCTGCAAGACTGTTACTCCTATATTTTATTATCTAAAGAGAAGGCTAGGTTGTTTTATGACTCTCCAGTAAGACGGCCGTTACACTTGATAAATTTACAGTGCTTTCATGTAAGTATTTAACTTATTAAAGGGACATTAACTGTATTTCGTGTTTCTAAGTTTTGTAAATGAAATCTGGTTATAACTGTTTTTATTTTAATTAATTAAATAGTTATTTATTTTTAAATATTAGCACACCTAGCTTAGGGCAGGCAAAAGGATTTGGAAAATTAATGAATTTGTATCTAAAAGGTGACAAAGCTATTCATGGGAATTTTTAAAGGGGGCACCGCAATTCGGCGGTGACCAGCCCACCGGTGGAGTCCGCAAGCTTGACAAATACTCATCCCGTTTATGACTTTTGTTTGGCACACATAAAGCTTTAAAACGCATAATGTTCTATTAACCAAAGTTAACAACTTTAAAGATGGAAGCCTTTACCGCTTTTTTACTTCTAAAAGAATAGTTCTTCTCACCTTACATATATTTGAATGTTTCAGACTTATGTTAAATATGTATCTTCAGAGGCAGTAACTATATTTAAGGTAAATAACCACCATTTTAAGATAATCTATTAAACATTCCAGCATACTTAAGATTTTAGTCCATCCTTAACTAAATCACTGTGTGGTGACAGTCCCCTTAAAGTTCTACATCTAACTTTAAAATACTATTTGAACATGAAAAATCCATCTGACCGTTTGCCAAGAATATAACCTTTTTATTGAGTTGTCAGATAATTCCATGAAGCATTCAGCTGCCTTGTTAAGCTTTAAGGGGTGTTCGACCGCTAGACACTTAAATTAAGAAACCCTCGTCGTAATAAGCGGTGGTCTCAAAAATTCGTCTATAAGTTGTGAGTATTTAATAAAAGAGTTCTTAATAAATGGCGTGATGTTGTAACTTTACATTAAAATTAAACTCAATATAACCCTAAAACTGCCTAAATATCGTCAGCCAATAAACTCAGGTTTAAATTTTAGCTTGTTACAAAAAGACCAAAAAAAATAAAATAAATTCATCGGATTTAGATTAATGAAAGTATTAAGTAGCAGATAATAAAACAATTATTACTAGTGTGAAAAGGTTATACATGTTTAGATAGCTATAAAAAAAGTTTAAGCTTTCAAGGCACCCTTTCGATTCTTTAAATTATAATCCTTCTGGAGATATAGGGCGCATGTTTCCGTACACACTAAGACTAATCGGTCTGCTTTCAACTTACCGAGCATCCCACAAAAGTCAAAAAATAAGTTAAAGTAAAAACCCTTCTCCTCGTTGTCTCTTTATTGTCTTTTTTCCATCACTCGGGTGCTTATTAACAAGGTTGTTTTGTTTTCTTGATTTTAAATTTAATAAAAAAAAAAACTTGGCTACCACCCCGTCAAAAAATTTGCATATTTATTAATGCTTTCATTAACGAAAAATAGAGTTAACAAATTTCGAATACTCGAGCTCTCCTTCAAGATTAGTTGTTACATATTTATAACTTATTCAACGTCTAAAGTAAATAACGTTAATTTAAAAAAATAATAACCACTCGAAGCCCATTAAAGTAAGCTCAGTTATCAGCAGGCGGTTACTGTGCCTAATTGACTTTCTTCGATGAGATTGGGTTGAAAGAAGATACACAATAATGAAGCCCCGTTCCACATAAACCACGCGCGTATATTACGATGAAAGGTATTTTGTTTTGTCTCAGTTTAACGAGAGCGCTATGGCTGAAGAATTGGACGCCCGCGCAACGCTACTCGTACCACACGTTGGTGGATCGTCGGCTTGCAATCTTTCGTCACGTAGTTCACGTGTGTGACCGTTTAGACGACATAGCTAATACGAAACTCACAGATAAATGGCGCTGTATAGACTTCCTGGTGTTAATGAGTGTCTTTGGCTTAATAGCGTTGCTTGTAATCCTCCACTTACGTTATCAGCCGGCAACGACGACGAGTGAAATACCGAATCATTTGCGTGAAAAATTAGCAAAGGCGCGTCCCGCAGAAAAAAAGAAATGTTTGTAGGTGAAAGAAGGGTTCACTAAGAAGCTTCCCGCTGTTAACGGAAACGAGCGCCATGCAGAGCGACTAGAGCGCACTGTTGTAGAGCAAACCTTCATGTCAAATTCGTTCAAACGCTTTTCCGACACCAAAAAAATAGTTTTAGAGTATTTAATAAAGGTAAAGCTGCGAGTTAGCCGCTCTGTCTCACCAATAACTATTGCCTCATGAGGTCCTTGTCTTAATAGAAACCTCTAGCGCGAAAGCACGAGCAATAACGATTGCTTTTAGATATCGTCGCAGAAGAGCTTCAACAACGTTGCCGACAGCGGATATGAGGGCGATAAGCCGATATCTCTCTCCTGTAGCATTGAGATAGACGCTGTTATTTATCTTATTGAGAAAGGATCTAACGGTTAAGGCAGAATATTTTAAGCCTGTCATATAATTAAACGACACCAAGCTATCGACTCTGACTCTGGAAAAGGTCAGGTTTCTCTAAGCAGTCTACTGAGTTTTTACCTCCCTGGTGCACAACCGCTCATTTTGGAAGCCTTCACAAATAAAGATCCAGTTTATAAATGGAAACTTTACACTTAGATAAGTTTAAATCCTAACCAGATTCCAAATTTAATGCTAAAAAATCTTAATATTACTCAATAAGCTACACTGTAGGGCTCATTAAAAAAATATTATTTTAAGATGGAAACAGGATAAAACTGCTATAAAACCGAAATCATACCCCTAACAACTACTCTAATGGTTATACCCCGAAAGTTGTCGCAAAAGCTGTGCTTCTCTTAAGGCTGAAATAATAGTTGACGATTAATATTTAATTTAACTAACCAGTTTAATTTCATAGTATTCTTTCTACAGTTCAACAAATCTCAAAATTGAGGAGAAACATAACTAATGCACTTACTCACGAAAAACCATTGTTTTAATATTTTTTAGACATTCAAAAAGTTCATGATAGAGCAAAGCGTTGAAGTGTCATATATTAAATGATCAAATTTGCAATTCCAGCATATTTAATAAAAATTATATTGACCCGTGTATGAACAGAACTATCGTATCCTAAACTACCTAATAACCTTGGTTTCCCAGGGGGCCTTATTATCACAAATCTTTTTCCTTATACGTATCTGATCTACTCTTCTTCCGCCTAAAATTCTTACGTTATGTGCCAATGACAATATTATCAATAATAGCTCAAAATCTTCTCCTCTTTCAATGCAACCTTACCTAAACTTATCTAAGAATTAATTAACAAAGTAGAAAATGAACTTTGATTTCTTTAAAAAAACAATCTCTCGCTAATCTTAAAAAAAAATGAAAAGGCTATTAAAGATTTCTTTTTTTTTTTAGATCTCCCTCCCCTGGAGATAATCAAGTCAAATATCTCCGTGTCAATAGAGATCACAATTTTATTTAAAGCTCCATAAACCTATCTGGTTTAGTATATTAAAATTAAGACGCATGCGTTATATCCGCTAATATGTGGTAATAGTGCACTTAAACTTAACAAATTATTTATCAAATTATTTCAACATATTGATTTTGGGCTAAAAAATAGTTACCCGTTAGTAGCTGAGGTCTATTTCTTAACCTTTAATATAAATAGACTACAACTACGATAATTAATTTTTTAGCAAGTTTACAGGAGCCCCTCGGTATGTGAGACTCTTTTTACTACATCGTGAATGCAATTTCAGGTAAACTAAGCGCTTAGCCGAGAACTGCATTAAGCGTGTTAAGATTCATTTGAGGGATTTACTAGCTACTTCCCTAATTACAATATTCAGAAGTTCCTAAATGTTGACGACGAAAATACCTTCTTTGTTAGATAATAACTCTAAATGCAAGAGAATACTATAATGAACTGATAATAATAGAAAACTAAATTAGAATAGTATTAATTCGTAATTGTATTAATTAGTAGTAAGATTAGTAAAAATATTTTATTGATAACATCTATATTAGCAAAGTAACTATAGTTATATATTGATAATAACAATATAGTAAAATAATGGCAATTATGAGAGCAATTATGATATATTAATAACAGTGACTATGGATGATGTACTAATGATAGTTTTATTTATAATCTTTTAATTTGTATCTATAATACTCTTCACCTACTTTAAAAAAAAATTGACCTTATAGAAGCTATTTTCTTGTTACTTTTTTTTTTCGGACATGGCCCGTGGCGGGACAGCGACTCACTCTGTTACTAGCATAACTGATTTAATGCAAATAGCCTTCCAAGCCAGTTATATAGGTTCGAGTCCTATTGGTTGCAATAAATGTCTCTAATTTAGTATAAAGGTGAATAAATTTCATT